ACCTCTCTGAGTATACAGGCCCGCAGTTCTGAATCCTCCTTGTGTCCAAGGGGTCTCCGGCGGTGCGAGCAGTTGTCAGGGTCCCTCAGCATCCCGAGGGATTCGGCACCAGATGTCCCGCGCTACTGTCTCGCCAGCAAGAACGACGCAGGGCACGTAGGATCCTTCTGCAGAACAGCTTTTTAATGCATCTTGAGAGCGAGAGCATAAGCCAACATGGCGGAGACCCAGAGCGAGGCGAACCCAGCCCTTATATAGGAAACAGTCCCCGCCTCGGACGTGTCACTCTCAGATTGGTCAGCTACCCATCATCCCAGATGACGCCTCGGGAGAGGCAGGGACTACAGCGTTGGAAATTTACCAACACATGCGCGTTATCCTGTTCACCGGGCGGGGGAACCGGATGTCAGCGCCATCTTGCAATGGCGAATGTGGTTGCGGTCCTCTACAGATAGGGAGTAAAGAATAAGGGTTTTTCTTCTTTACAGAAAGAGTAAATTTCCTGTAAACCGAGGTACTCTACTTCCGTTTGGATTATGATATAGACAATCCTTGTTTTGCTTCGTATCAACAGATCACAAAGCAACTGGTAAGTTGGGCATGGCGGTTTAGGCTGTAACCACAGCACTCTGGAAGCTGAGGCTGGAATATTGTTTTGAGTTTGAGGCCAGTCTGAGTTACATGGTTAGTTCTAGGTGAGCCTGGACTACAGAGTAAGAGACCTATTTAAAAAATAGTTCAGTGTAAACACAATAATTCTGAATGGAAAGATTGCAGTCATTTCTGATTTCTTTTCGCTCTACTCTTTTCTATGTTTTGGCAAATTGTCAAAATTCTTTGAGTTTGTTTCAGTGTTCAGCATTTACCATGGCATTTTCTGTGTCTGAATATCTCAAAAAGATGTGTTTCATGTCTCTTGTAGCCCAGACTGATCTGAAACTTGGTATGTATTTGAGGGCAACATTAAACTCCTGATCTTCCTGCTGCCCCTTCCCATGGACTGGGATCATGGGTATGTATTCCATGTATGGCTAGTGTGACTTTTCTTCGTTGGCGTGTGTAACATGAAGGGCCTGCTTGTTTGTGTTTCTGTCCTGCCCTGTCCCCCAACTGTTTAGTCCCAGAGAAAAATCACACTGAGATCTCTATAAGTTATAAAGCTGGTTGGCCCATTAGGTCTAGCCTCTTACTGACTAACTCTCACATCTTGATTAACCCTTTTTCCTGATCTATGTTAGCCATGTGGCTCAGTACCTTTTTCAGTGGGGCAGCTCACATCCTGTTGCTTCAGTGATCTGGGCAGGAGTGGGAGGAATCAACTTCCTCCTCCCCAGAATGTTCCTGCTCTCCTTGCATCATTTCCACTTCCTGTCTGGCTTTCCCACCTACACCTCCTGCCTGGCCAATCAGTGTTTTATTTTAAAGCATGATTGACAGAATACAGACAATTCTCCCGCACCAGGTGTGACTTCCTCTGGGTATCTCTATTTTTCCATCACTGTTATTTCCCTTTACTTATTGCCTTGGGCTACACTGTCTAGAATCCGTCAAGCCACCATATTAGAATTATTTAAGAATACATTATTTATATTTCTCTGTGTGCATCTGTGTATGTGTATTCGCATGTGGTTTTTGTGCTTGCTGGAGGTCAGAAGAGGGTGATGTATCTCTTGGAGCATAAATAACATGACACTGAGAACTCAACTTTGGTCCTCTGGAAGACAACAAGTGTGCTTTACCCCAAGCATCTCTTCAGCTCCAATATTAATGTTGCTGTGGTACTGTTGTTTGTGTCTTGAATGTTCTCCACAGAAGCCCATTTTAAAGATTTCCCCCCAAGGAGATGCTCTTAGGACCTAGTGGAAGATTGTAAGTTCTTGGTGACTTGTCTTCTAAGGTATAGTTTTTCTAGAATCTTCTCTCTACCCTATCAATAAGGCATGAGCATAATTTCTCTCTTCTTTTCTCTCTCTCTTCTCTCTTTCTCTCTCTCTCTCTCTCTCTCTCTCTCTCTCTCTCTCTCTCTCTCTCAGACACACACACACACACACACACACACACACACACACACACACACACACATAATTTCTCTCTTCCAGAATCTGGCCAGATCTATAATTCTCTGTTATCAGAGGAATGCAGCAGATGTGACCTTACGATTTCTTTCTTTCTTTTCTTTCTTTTTTTTTGTTTCTTGGGTCAGGGTTTCTCTGTGTAAAAACCCTGGAATTTACTTGTAGACTCCGCTGGCCTCAAACTCACAGATATCCTCCTGCATCTTTCTCCCAACTGCTGGGATTAAAGGCGTGTGTTGCCACCACTGCCGCCTCCCTAGCGACCCTGGGATTTCTAAAGGCAGCACAGTTCATACTTTGACAGCTGTCCCCCTCCAAGGCTCTCAGCACCAAAGTGAGTGATCTGATTGCTCAGAGGCCATCATGCTGGGAGGAAATTTAAGTCAACTCACATGGAAAGGTAGCATGAAGTTCAGACAAATAGATTACACAGTGTCGTCATGCCTGGCTCTTTTCTTTTTTCATTCTTTATTTTTTTTCCCCCACTGCACACCTCTGCTTAGTCTGGTACTCACAATGTAGCATGAGCTGACCCAAAATTGGTGGCAATACTCCCCTGCCTCAGCCTACTGAGTACTAAGGTTACAGGAGGTCCCAGCATGCCTGGCTGATTTTTCTCCGTGTGAATAAATGCAGCAAAAGTCTGTAAGAGTACTCCTACACACATGTAGATTTATGTGCTCATGAGATTACAAAATTCAGAGCAAACGCACAGTGTTTAAGTTACAACACTTCTTTTCCATACCCTAGTCAAACAAATCAATGTCCTGAGTTTTCAGGTCACATTTGAAAGTCTGTTTTTTAGTGAAGTAAAAGTTACAAGTGAGCCAGGTGGTGGTGGCACATGCCTTTAATCCCAGCACTCGAAGGGCAGAGGCAGGTGGATCTCTCTGAGTTCAAGGCCAGCCTGATCTATAAGAGTTAGGTCTAGGATGGGCTCCAAAGCTACAGAGAAACCCTGTCTCAAAAAACCAGAAAAAAAAGTTACAAGTGTTGCTTATGCTAACAGGACAAAAGACACTAGCAGTTCAAGTGAAGAAAACTAAAGATTTATGCATTTTAAATTTACGTGTATGAATATTGTGCCCACATGTATGTATGTGCAGAACATGCACGCAATGCCCATGGTATCCAGAAGAGGGCATCAGATCTCATGGAACTAGAGCTACAGACACCTGAGCTGGGAACAGAGCCTGGGTCCTCTGCAAGAGCCTCAGCTATAACTTTTCTGAGAGGAGAAAAATTATTTTCTTCAGAAAGAACTTCAGATTCCTAGGGTGGGGACGCAGAGTAACTGCGTATTCTTGAATCTCCATTTCTGAAAATGCAGAAGACTAACAAACAACAGGTGAGCACCAGGCTCAAGTGTTTTTCAAGAGAACAAGATGTTGGGGTTAAGTTTGGGAGCCGTCACCACCCATTCAGGTTTTGTGGCACTCAGTATCAACAGTTACCAAAAGGACGCTCAGCTGCAGGCCAAGTCTCAAGTTTGTGTAACATGGGAACCTGAGTCCCCTGCAAAAGGCTAATGATATTTGCTCTTATTGACTGGAGACAACAAGGCAGCTTATCTGACATCTCAGATACTCATTAAAGAGAACACTGCTAGTGCGATGGCGTGGTGGCTGAAAGCATTTGCTGTCAAGTCTGATGGATTCAATCCCCGGAACCTTGGGAGAGTTGGTTCTCTCCTTCCACCATGTAGGTTCCGGGGATGGGTAGAGTGCTTACCCAGCATGTTCAAGGCCCAGGGTTTGATCCTCAGCGCACTAAGAACCGGATGTGGTGGTACACGACACCTGTTGCTCCAGCGTTCCAGAGCTAGAGCAGAAGGGCCCGAAGTTCAGTTATCCTCAGCTTCACAGGGAGCTGGGGGCTAACCTAGGCTACAGAAAATTCTACCTGTTAAGGGGAGGGGAGGGGAGGGGAGGGGAGGAGAGGAGAGGAGCGGAGAGGAGAGGCGAGGAGACGAGCGGCGCGGAGAGGAGAGGAGAGGAGAGGAGAGGAGAGGAGAGGAGAGGGAGAGCAATGGTCTAGAGAAACCCATGGTAATCTAGCCAGAATGAACGAATGACTGAATTCTGTAGTTTGCAGCGTTTAAATTCTTTTTTTGTAGCTTCACATGAACTTTGGGTGATAAGCTCACCAGGACTACAGTATTTCCATCCCAAGGTGCTACGCTTGTAAGTATCTTAGATATCTTAGATCTCTATGGTGGCTGCTTTCTGTCTCAAGAGACCTTATCAGGCAGTATTTTAGTTAATATGTAGCGAAATCCTGAGAGTTTTTTTTTTTTTAAACAAACTTCCTTGTCTTGAACTCACCCTCAGAGAAATTGTCTATTCGTTTTCGGCTTTGTTTGTTCTTTCTTTCATTAAAAAAAAAATGCTTGATTTCAAAGCATTCCTATTTTCTTTTCTGTCTCATTGCTCACTATTGAGGCTTCCAATTTTTAAAAATATTTGTTGTAAGCTACGGTTTGCCAAGCATGCACAGTCCAAACCCAATTTCCTGAATAACTTAGCCAACCTCAAAGCAGTACGGTGGCTGACGAACCTAAGCCTTCTGCATCAAGTTAGTGTGGCCCGGCTCGCTGGAGCCCAATCTGCAGCCCTACTGTTTACTTTCCGCGTGGAGAGCTCTCCTAAGATCTAACCTTTAGCCAGCGCATGCCTTTCATTACGGGCATTAAGCTAAACTGTAAAATAGCCACACCGTGATGCTCTGAACTATCTAAGATCCAGACGTCCAAACCAACCGCTCTCAATGATCTTTTAAGAGGGAAAGATACTCTTAACATCGCAAACAGAAAACAGATAAGCCACGAGTCCCTCTTGCGGCAGAAGTGATGAAGCCTAAAGAATTCCTATAGCAAGATGGAGACATGACGACCCCAGCTGTGTAGGAAGCCAGCCTGGATAAGGGATGAAGAGCACCGGCTGGCTCACCCCGAAACCTGTCAATGCTGTGATCCTCGGCTGCATATGGGTTTCTGTGGCGCAGGGCACAGATTCGAGCAGCTGCCTGACATCCTGTGTAACTAACCTGGTAAGTTTCACTGACCTGATGTTCGTGCTTGCAGAACACAATCTCGTTGTAAAAGATTCATTTTCTCCTCATGACACCTTTTTTGGCATGAGAGGTAGCAAGGATTTCCACATATTTTTTTTTCCACTGAAGGCAAGAGAATATATAATTCCAAAATATATGCACGATATTTTAACTATTTGCCATCACGCTCTAGATTTTTTGGGGAGGGGTATTTGTGGATTGAGTAAAATAATCTTAAAATAGAATCAAGTTTACAAACTGTAAAATATTCCACTTAGTAATTCATTATAAAATCATTAATATTTATTTAAAATATAAAATGGACTTTTGTCACACTGTAAACTTTCCAGTTCCTGGTTAACAGTTGGGGGTACTGTGGATGGCTTGCTGACCAGGGAGCAGGTGCAGAGGCTAGGTACAATATTTTCTATCAAGAGACTAGATTATTTGTGTCTCTTTATTTCTACCTATGCATTTGCCAGATTTGACTAACTAGTTTTGACATGAAAAGATTGTCTTATAGTTGTCTCTTTTGTATGTATTATATGATACCATTTCAATAGCAACCTAGTTGTGCTTAAAACTTCCTTTTAAGTTAACTTTTGTATTAACTTGGAAAGCCAAATACTGTAGCTGGGAAGACATGCATTCTTCCTCTCTAAAGATTAAATAACATAGCCTGGGAGTGGTGGTGCACACCTTTAATCCCAGCACTCAAGAGGCAGAGGCAGGCAGATCTCTGTGAGTTTCAGGTCAGACTGGTCTACAGAGTGAGTTCCAGGACAGCCAGGGCTATATGGAGAAACCCTGTCTCTAAAAACCAAACCAAACCAAACCAAACGCCCCCCTCAAAGATGAAATAGCATGACAGCCTGGGTATGACATTTTGCAGCTTTATTATAAAGTAACTAAGTGCCAAGCGCTGTGCACATTTTTATGCTAATACAGCAGACGTAGAATTCTTACAGCAGCAAATCATTGCTCGGGCAAACTGTAGTCAGTAGTACTTCAAAAATAGCTACAGAAATCTTTCCCAAGATTTTACTGTCTTCGATGCAGAGGTGTTTTCTTTAGCTCCTGTAGTTATAATACAAACTTAAAAATCGCATGGAAGTCAGAGACTGTGAGGGAGGTTGAGGCAGGAGGACCAGGAGTGGACACCAGGCTGGCTATAGATGTATGAGACTGTTGTTTTCTGCCCTAAAAGAGATTTCTTTTATTTTTTTCTGATAAGAATATGAATATGTTGCAGTATAGGTTCATATCTATACATCTCATACTTTTTATATGATAAAGAGAAAAGAATGAAGACTGGTAATTCCACGCTTTACCTCTGATTATTTTTCTTTTGGTATTTTTATCAAATATATATTGGTATATGTGTATGTGCATATACTGTCCTCAAACTCATGGCAATCCTCATGCCTCAGCTTGCCTAGGATCAGAATTACAGGAGCAAGCCATTGTGACTGGCTTAAACATACATATAATTTTACACACATCCGTCTCACTTCACATTATATTATGAATTTTCCTTTATAGCCTGCAATTCTTTGGAAATAAGCTCTTTAGCATATTTAGAGTGCTCTGTCACGAGTGTACCCCTGCAAGTTGTCCATTCCCTTACTTTTGAAACTGACTGTAGTTCTGAAAACAACAAACGTCTTCATTTTGTTTCTAGCTCTGCTTATTGTTCTCTCTGTGTGGGCCTCATGCCCTCAGGGTTTGGCAGCTCCAACAGACAGTCAGTTCCTTTGTTGGGCTGCCTTCCGTTCACCACCTACAGAAGAGGGTACAGGCCCTGAGGTGGCAATTGCAAGAGACACAGTCTGCTGGTTTGACCAGCAAAAGTAATAAGAGTGTTCTGAGCTGGGCCTCCCACACAGGTGTGGGAGGGGCAGCAGCTGGTGGAGGGACAACTGAAGGCAGCCACTGTGTGGCATGATGTACCCCACTGTGTTATTTCCTGCTGTCCTTTCTCATGTGGACGTTTGCTGCCATGAACATCTTTGATTTCAAGATTTTGATGGGTGGTTGACGTTAAGGCATTTTCTTTTTCATGTAGACATGAGACACACTCTTGAATAAAAGAATGCTGGGATGAAGTCAGGCATGGTGATTCATGCCTCTCGCCCCAGCAGATGCAGAATTAGTACAGGCTTGAAGCCAGCCTGGGCTACAGAGTGAGCTCCAGGATTCCCTGGGCCATGCAGTGAAGCAGACAGTGATGACAACCAACCACAGAGAAGAATGTTAGAAGTGCAGCCCCTGTGGGGCTTAGAAGAGGGTGTTGCTCCCCTGGAACTGGTGGTAGAGGTGATGGTGAGGCCACCACTTGAGTGCTGACACCCGAACCCAGGTCATCTTCAAGAATGACAAATACTTGTAACTGGCCACCCTTCCAGCCCCCAAGACAGGGTCTTGTGTGGTCCTGATAGGCCTGGAACTCATTATACAGACCAGGCTGACTTCATAGTTGCAATCCTCTTTCTTCCTCTTTCTCCCAAGTGCTGGGATTGTAGCTGGGCACCACCATGCCCAGCTTTATAGATAAAGATTCAAACTAAAAGAGCCCCACCCCATCCCACCATTTTTTTTTTTGACTTGGGGATTATATAGGTTGGCTTTTGAACTCTCTATGTATCTGGACGACCTTGAAAGCCCAATCCTCTGGGTTTTACTTCACAAGTGTTGAAATTATAGCTGTACACCATAATGCCCCGTAAGGTACTGTGTAACGTGAGGGGCCTGCTCATTGGGGTTTCTGTCCCACCTGGTTCCCCACAGCCAGCAAGCCCCAAAGAAAATCACACAGAGTCTACATTAAGTTATAAATTGATTGGCCCATTAGCTCAGTCTTCTTATTAGCTCTTGTAGCTTATATGAACCTATTGTTCTTATCTATGCTAGCCACATGGCTTGGTACCTTTCACAGTAGGGCAGGTCACATGTTGCTTCTTCAGTGGTCTGGGCTGGACTGGGGAGGGAGCTTTCTGCTTCCCAGGACACTCTTGTTCTCATCGCCCCACCTCTACTTCCTGTCTGGTTGATCCACCTATACTTCCTGCCTGGCCAATCAGTGTTTATTTAAAACATGATTGACAGAATACAGACAATTCTCCCTCACCAGTACTGTGCACTTAAAAAAAAATCTCCCCACTAATCACAAGGTTCAAATAACTTCTCAGAGCTGTAAATAAAGGGTGTGATTGAAATAACGAAAACCAAAGCACATTAAAAAAAAAAAAACAAACCAAACAGCCCCTACTTTGACTCATTAAAATAGTAGCCAAATTTACAGGAGGCTATGCCCAAAGCCCAAGAGTGGGAATGCCTTGAAAAGCCTAAAATGGGCCAGAGAGGAGGCTTGACGTTAAGAGCACTCTTCCTTGCAGAGGGCTTGGGTTTATTTCCCATGAGCTATATGGTGGTTCAAAACCATCTGTAGTCCTAGATGTTGAGGATCCGACAGGCATGCACATGGTATACATACACACATGCAGGCAAAGCATTCATATACACATAGTAAAATAAATAAATCTTAGAAAAGCCTGGGCCAGGCACTGGGGGTACACACTTTTAATCCCAGCACTCGGGAGGCAGAGACAGGTGAATCCTGAGTTCAAGGCCAACCTTCTCTACAGATTGAATTTCAGGACAGCCAGGGCTGTTACACAGACAGCCAGCCTAGAAAAAAAAAACAAAATAAAATAAAAATAAAAAAAAACAACAAAATCAGATCCAGACTTCCTAACAATTTAATGATTTAAAACTTCAATTATTCTGTCTATTAGAAAAATAAACAGAAATGACACAGAGAAAGTTTCAGTGTGGAAAAAGCTATTAGGTTAAATTAACAAACTGGACATAAATAAAAGCACTTAAAATAAGAAAGAATATGAATAACCACAAAAAAGAGTTTTAGGGCTGGCAAGATGGTTAAGTGGGCAAAGACGCCTAGTCTGCTGGTCTGGGTTCAGTTCCTAGGACTTGGCCAAGACTAGTGACTTGGGTTCAATCCCTAGGATGCAGCTAAGCCTTATGGCCTGGATTCAATTCCTAGGACTCAGTCAAGCCTAGTGACCTGGGTCCAGTCCCTAGGAACCATATGGCAGAGAGGACCTACTCTTGCAAGTTGTTCTCTGACTTTCACATGTGTCCTGTGACTACTCAACCCCCTCCAATAAATGTAATAAAATTAAAGAAAAAAACCTATAAATTGCTAAAATGCATGCAATAATAGTCAACCTCAGACCAAACAGAAAAACTGAAAAGGGAAACTAATATTTATTTCTGACATTGGCTTGGTAAAGATACAAATATTTATGAAGAAAAGTTCATGGTTAATAAAGGTGTGGGCAAGCTGGGGCGGACATTCACTATAGACTAGAATGTAAATTATAAATTTTAAGAAAACAAAGTTATTTGTAAATATCAAAAATGATATTTTTTTAGCCCTGCACATCAGAGATTACTTGACATTACTGCACAACTAATTGTGAGTCTGTGTGAAAGGCTGCGTATGGCAAACTCACACATGTCAAGGAGAAATTCTTAAGAGTTTGCACTAAACTGTGATTTTTTTTTCGTTTTTTTTTCAAGTCAGAGTTTTTCTGTGTAGCTCTGGATGTCCTGGAACTCACTTTGTAGACCAGGCTGGCCTCCAACTTGCAGAGATATACCTGTCTCTGCCCCCCAAGTGCCAGGATTAAAGTCATGAGCTACCATGCCCGGCTAAATTTTTTGTGTATATATCTGTGTGTTGCCTGAGTGCTCTGTGCTGGGGGACAGCAGAAGAGGGTATTAGATCCTATGGAACTGGAACTTTAGATGATTGTGAGCCACTCTGTGGGTGTTGAGAACCCAGGTCCTCTGCAAGAGCAATAAATGCTCTAAACCACTAATCCATCTTTCCAACACTTTCCAATTATTAAAAAATCTAAATCTATGTGCTTCTATTTGACAGTGCTGTGGTTGAGCCTTGAACCTTGTATATGGCGGGCTAGTGCTGTACCACTGAGTCATGCCCCATCTTTATTTTTTAATTGATATGTAAAAACATAAAAAATTTTATTATACAAGTACATTGTTTGAATCTTCTCAGAATGCTATGAGTTGAACCTTATTTGGCTATTTTTTTCCTTTTTTGTGGAGGGGGGTTAGTTTACATTTTTTTTTGAGTCAGGATCTCATTGTGTGACCTGGAATTTGAAGCAATCCCCTTGTCTTAGCTATCTGAAAGCTGGGGTTGCAGGTATCAAGCTCATAACTGGCTTCCGGATTAAGCATTATTCTTCTTAGATGTGAAATGAGAAATAATAAGTCAAACACATCTCTTAAGGAGCAACTACATGTTAAGATGAGGTGAAATGCAGGCCATTCCGCTTGGTTCCGTTTGTCAGGGAGGAAGTTAAGAATTCGATTAGTTCCAGCTCAGGTGCCAGGATAGACAAGGCTTGGGCCAAGGAGTAGGTGTTGGGTGAAGAGGTCTGGGATGTGGGACCAGGTTTGTGTGTTGGAGGTAGCTAACCCGCTGGAGCTTTGCAGGGACTGCTGAATGTCCAAAGTGCAGAGAACACTTGTGCGCGTTCACCGAGCTCACAACTTCCTTGCTCTTGGAAACAGGAACCCGAGTGGTTTACTAAACTTTGGGTCTTGACTATAAAATAGGGTTAGTAACAGTATGTAGTGTTGTTGGAAACACCTAGTGAGATTTAACATAAGACAACTATAGACGTGCCTGGCCTGGGACGGAGGGATGGTTCTAGAACTGTGAGCTGCAGTGATGGCGAGGGGGATGGCGGGTGAACGAAGGTTGGGAAAGCGCCGACATAATTCACTCCCCCAGAAAACCACAGACCTGACAAAGGCTGGCTTGCCAAGGCCTCGGCAGGCCTCTGTGCAGCTGATTGAATTTCCTCTCTAGCTGTTCCAGGGATTCATGTCTTCTGCAATATGGCTTTGTAGCCATCAGGAATCTTCTCCTGTCTCCGTGTTTAACATGGACACAAGCTCAACCCAGCATCTTCTCTTTTGCCTTTTTGAGCTAGCATAATTTTGAAGGGATGGGAAAATAGTCAATTATGAATCAGTTATCTTTCACCTGATTTTGTATGATTAGGATTTAATCATCCTATAGGAACCAAAACTTCATTTTGAGCAAGTTCATGGAAGCAAAGTCGTATTAAACATTTGGAAGCTCAGTATGGTGGCTCACACCGATAATCCCAGCACTTCAGAGGTGGAGGCAAGAGATGAGGAGAACAAGGCCGTGTTGACTACTTAGTAAATTCAAGGCCAGTCTTAGGCTTCACATCAAAAAACCAAACCAAACCAAACCAAACCAAACCAACCAAACAAACAAAAAACCAGGGCTGGCAAGTGGTTAAGAGACACTCGCTGCCAAGCCTGATAACCCGAGTTCGATCCCCAGGGCCCACACGATGGGAGGACAGAGCTGACTCCTTAAATTATCTTCTGATGTCCATGCATGCTGTCGCAAGACACCCCACTGCTCCACCAAATTAATAGACAAATAAAATAAAAGAAGCCAAAACAACAGAGTGAAGCTAAACAAAACATCAATAAGAAAAACCCACAAAACTCCCTCAAGAGGTTACAAAATTAACTTAAATGTCAGAGTTCTCTGTGAATACAAAGTGTTGTTATTACTTGTTATGAAAAATAAACTCTTATCTTCCTTTTGAGTATAAATCACCAAGGATGAAAATGTTTGTCTTTTCAATCCTGAGTTTTATTTCAAATTAACCTCACAGTGTGAAGTTCTTAGATAAAGCCAACAGGAACGCCTAGAACTTTCGAATTTGTGTGTGTGTGTGGTCTGTTTTTAATCACTCCTTTTGCATGAAAGTATTGAACAGTAGTTACCCATCAGGCATTTCTCCAAGTCCTGAAAAGAAGCCTGAAATGCATGGGAAGGAGGGGGTATACCATTATCCTAGTAATGGGCTGTCTCCTGTGATGGCATCGTATATTCAGAGGCCACACTGAATGTTTAAACCATACTTTCATCCTTCTGATGACTTTTTTTTATAAAACTGGAAGCCAAGGATGACTACTCCATTCCTTGCTGTGTTGATCACATCTCTAACTTAGTGTTTTGTATCAATAAATCTTTTTTGTTTTGCTTTTTGAGATATGGTTTCACTGTAGCCTTGATTGACTTGGAACCTACTCTGTACACCAGGCTGGCCTCAAACTCACCTGCCACTGCCTCCTGATCAAGGTGCTGGATCTGACGCCTAGCACTGGGAAAAATAAAACGAAACAGAACAAAACAAAAAAGCAACTAAACTCAATCATGTTCGGAGTCACTATCTTCTTGTGCCATCCTAGATTACACAGCAAGTTGGAGGACCATCCTGTGCTGCATGGGACCCTGTTTCCAAAACCAGGAAGATAACACAAAATGAAACAAAAGCATTAAGACAGGATTGGTCATTTAAAGTAATGTGTATGTGTGTGAGTGTCCCTGTGTGGGTATCTGCGTGTGAGTGCAGGCATCTGTGGAGATCAGAAGGAGTTGCTTCATCCCCTGAGGATGGAGTTGCAGGTGCTAGTGAGAAGCCTGATGTGGGTGCTAGCAACTAAACTCAGGTCCTCTGCGCAGGTGGCACTCCTAACCAATGAGCTGTCTCTCTACCCGCAACAAAAGCTTCCTTTTCATTTTTTCCTTGTTTTTATCTTATTGTTTATGTGTATGAGCGTTCTGCCTATGTGTCTTTGCACCATGTTTACACTTAGTACCTGTAGCGACCAGAAGAGGGCGTCGGATTCCTGAGAACGGGAGTCACAGATGGTTGTGTGTCACCATATGGATGCTCAGAATGGAACCCCATGTCTTCTGGAGGAGCCAATGCTCTTAGATTGTGCTGCCATCGTTCCAGCCCAGTGATCTTCAACCTTCCTAATGCAGTTTAATACAGTTCCTCAGGTTGTGATGACCCCCAACTATAAAATTATTTTTGTTGCTACTTCATAACTGTAATTTTGCTGCTGTTATGAATCGTAATGCAAATATCTGATATGCAGAATAATCTTATGCAACCCCTGAAAGGGGTTAGGACCCACAGGTTGAGAATCCCCACTAGCTCCATAAATGCCACCCTGAAAATTTCAAGTATGTGAGAACTAAAGAAGGAATTTATATTTTATTAAATATGACATTCCAAATTTGTATGTTTCCGAACAGTTACTGAGTAATTGGAAAGAAAAGGGAATAAATGGAAACTAATTCTTTTCTAATTCAGGAGACCTCTGTTTGGATCAGCTCCCTAATCCCCAGGTCTGTTCAATTCACCATGAGGGTCTGCCTCCCTTGCCTGGCCACACTCTCACCCCTGTCTTTGTCGGTGCTGTGGGATTCCTAGGCAAGATTTCATAATTTGCATCAGCCTTTTGTCCAGCTTCATGCCAGATTAAATGACTTGGAAACACTTGGCAAGTTACTCTACAATTAGCAAACAATGAGAAGAACTGAATTCCATGAAACTTAAAAACCGGTGTAATGGTGCCCTGGTGGGGTATTGATGCTCTTGATGATGTCTATTGTCCTTCTTGTTTCAGGGCAAACAGCTTGACATTGGCCCACCACACAATCTGAACGAGGCTGTAAGTAACTACTTCTGTTATCAAGAACTTTACAGTTTGTGTTGGTTTTAAAAAAGGTAATATTTGTCTCTTTTATTACACAATAAGAGTAATTCTTGGGGCTGGAGAGATGGCTCAGTGGTTTAGAGCATTGCCTGCTCTTCCAAAGGTCCTGAGTTCAATTCCCAGCAACCACATGGTGGCTCACAACCATCTGTAATGAGATCTGGCCTGCAGGCATACACACAGACAGAATATTGTATACATAATAAATAAATATTTTAAAAAAAAAGAGTAATTCTTAAATAAAATCTTATTTACTTATCTTTGGTGAAAGAAAGGTCTTTTGGAAATAGTGAGAAGTCTGAATTATGGAATTCATTAAAAATGAAATATGTTAAAATAGAAGAAGCAAAGGACTAATAAATCCATATTTTAGAAATAATATAAATCCATGTTTTACCTACACAACTGGGTGCTTGAGATTATGACAATATTTTATTGATTTTATTGTGTGTTGTCTGAGAAGGTTGGGCTATGTAATTTTGTTGTTTCATTCAGCAATTACGTTCTGTGGTTTTATTACTTTTCTGCATGTATATTTATTTATTCCATAAATGTTTAGTGACTCAACATGCAAATGTGGCAGGCTCTGGGCTAGGCAGATGTCTTAGTTAGGGTTTCTGTTGCTGTGAAGAGACACCATGACCACAGGAACTCTTATAAAGGAAAACCATTTAATTAGGACTAACTTACAGTTTCAGAGGCTTAGTCTGTTATCATCTTGGTGGACATCATGCAGGCAGACATGGTGCTGAAGACGGAGCTAAGAGTTCTATATCTTGATCCGCAGGCAGCAGAGGCAACTGTGTGTCACACTGAGCATAGCTTGAGCAAAGGAGACCTCAAAGCCCACTTCCTCCAACAAGACCATAGCTCCTAATAGTGCCACTCCTTATGGGAGCCATTTTTATTCAAACCTACAGCAGAAGAGGTTTACAACTGGGGCCTGTGTTTTAAGGAACCACAAACTTCTTTTTTAAAGATTTTATTTATTTATTATGTATACAGTATTCTCAGTATTCTGTCTGAATGTGTGCCTGCAAACCAGAAGAAGGCACCAGATCTCATTACAGATGGTTGTGAGCCACCATATGGTTGCTGGGAATTTAACTCAGGACCTTTGGAAGAGCAGGCAGTGCTCTTAACCACTGAACCATCTCTCCAGCCTCCGAACCACAAACTTTTGAGAAATGTACATAGAACTACGGACAGAAAACACAATAGTATTGTTACGGTGGACATTGAAGAGGACACACAGGGTCAAAGACCACCTCATTTGTCTGCAAGCTCTTCAGACTGAAAGAAGGAAAGTTTTCTAGAACAAAGATTTTTAAACTTTTCCCAGTAGAGGCCCTTTTTCCCATAATCTCAGCTGTATATGGGATAATGATGTGAGTCAGAGTTGGAAATGGTCCATTGGGAAAAGGTGCTGGCTACCAACTGGGCCACCTGAGTTAAATTTCCAAGACTAGTATGGTGGAAGGAAAGAACTAACTCCTGTAAGTTGGTGCTGGGGACTGAACCCATGTCCTTTTTGCAAGAGCAGCAAATGCTCTCAGCCCCTGAACCATTTCTCTAGCCTGTTAGCTAAATATTTGGTGGGGCATCTTTAACATTTTCTAGTTGACAGATATTTTAATTTTATAATTGTTTATGCTAAAACACTTCTTTGCATAAATATGTATGCTGGCTGTGGTTTTCTGTCCTGCCTGGTTTCTGTCCTTTCACCAGGTCCCACAACCGTTTAGCCCCAAAGAAAATCACACAGAGGTCTGCATAAGTTATAAACTGATTGGCCCTTAGCTCGGGCTTCTAATTAACTCTAATAACTTATATTAGCCCATTATTCTAGTATATGTTAGCCACATGACTTGGTACCTTTTTCAGCAGGGCAGATCACATCTTCATTCTTTGGTGTCTGGACAGGACTGCAGAGCAATGGGTTTCCTCCTTCCCAGAATTCTCCTGTTCTCTTTGACCTGCCTCTACTTCCTGTCTGGTTGTCCCGCCTATACTTTCTGTCTGGCTTCTGACCAATCAGCATTTATTTAAAATATAATTGACAGGATATAGACAATTGTCCTGCACCATATGTAGTCTAAAATGGTGGAAATATATTTAGGGTCGTTTCAGAAATGGTTAGAAATTCTTTCCTAATTCCAAGTCATAATTCCAAGTCCAAATTTAGAAAAATTCAGTTTGTTTTTTTTTGGACAATTATGTACATGTATATAATACATCTGGTTTTTCCCTCTTCTCCCTTTCCATCTCTGTCTCATCTCCATAAATCTCCACTTACTCCTAACAGTCTCTTTTCTAGATTCTCAACTTTTGATTTGATTTTGTGACTCATTTAGTTTAAACAAGACCATCTATGTGACTATTGGACTGGAACTACCCATTAGAGACTGGTGGAGTCTTGGGTGGGGAAAGACTGAAAGCAATGATTCCCCTCTCCATGAATCTCATTAGCAAATAATCCAGCAGTGAGAGCTAGGCCCCCTGAGTCCCTCCTCCATCCATGTCTGACTGTGAGTGGACCCATTCTTGTGTAAACTGAGTATAGGGATCCTTAACTTCTTTGAGTTCGTGATTCTCAAACCCTGGCTGCGTGTCTTACTCAGACATAGGGTGTTTTGAAGAACTATCTTCTGCCTCTTACATTCCTTCCACCTGTGTTCTACAGTATTGCCTGAGATATAGAATACATGGTATAAATGTCTTATTCAGGACTGAGCATGCCTCTGTCATGTACTCTTTGCCAATCGGGCAGCCACGAATTTCTGTATCCACTGTTCACTCAAAAAAGAGGCTTCTGTGGTTAAGGTTGGGAATCTCATTTGCCTAAGGATGTAAACACAAATATTTCTAAGGCAGTTTGAAATGATGTCAGGTTAGCTGACAAACAGTATTCAGTCCCTGTACAAGACCTGGCATCTCTTCCACCATGGGTATTTGAACAGGTTTACAGCTACAGACTACTCCAGAGTGAAACTTAGGTACAATTAGAGAGCAATGGTCACCTCCATAACAGTAGTTCCACTATTGTGCAAGTGGTCAGCAACAACTTTTAAAATCAAGAATTCTGACACAATATAATCCAAACACATACCAATGTTCTACTTCTATGTTGAAGTATTATTTTAGTTATTTTCTATTGCTGTGAAAAGATACCACAGCCAAAGCAGCTTATAGAAGAAAGAGTTTATTTGGGACTCACAGTTTTAGGGGGCTAGGATCCATGACCATCATGCCGGAGAGTTTGTCAGTAGGCAGGCATGGCACTGGATCAATAGCTGAGAGCTCACATCTTGAGCTCAGAAAACAAAACAAAACAAAACAAAAGTAAATAAACAAACAAATGAATGAATATGTGACCAGGTGTTTTTTATTTTTAAGACAGGGTCTATGTAGCCTTGGGTAGCCTGGAACTTTATATACAGACCAGGATAACCTTCATGTTATAATGACCTACCTGCCTCTGCCTCCTGAGGGCTGGGATTAAAGTTTTATGCCCCCATGCCTCATTTGGTTTGAAAAAAGACCCCTTCCAAAGAGGCAATTGAGAGGGGTCCTCCACGAGCATTTAGCACGTTGTGAAGGGGTGCATCACACAGCTGAGACGTTGAGTAGGGAGCCAGCGAGCACTTGGCTAGTGACCAGGTGGGTCAGGAAGACTTGGGGTTGCCTTGTTCGTGGGAGGAGGGTGAGGAGTTAGAGAAAGAAAACATGCCTGGGTTCCTGTTTTAGGCCACTCAAGCATACAAATGGGGGATTCAGTGTGTCACATGGGCAGTCTGTAGTGACTCAGGTGTGGGTGTCTGATGTGGGAGTGCAGATCTGGGTGGAGCTTGTTAGGAAGTCAGGCACTGTTATGGGTGTTATCAGCATGCAGCCTGAGAGAGTGACAGACAGAGATGACGCAGGAGCCATGGACCAGCGCTCCAACAGGAGACCAGCACAGCTGTAGGAGGACATTTGAGGGCAGCTTTGGTGTAAAAGCAGCCAGAAGGGAACAGATTTAGAAGTGGTCTACCTACTAGCTTTGCCATTCTACCTGGCTGTAGTCCCTGGTTGTGAGTTTTGCTGGTTGTGTGAGGACAACTGGAGACCCAGGATACACTTGATGTCTTGCTGTCCTGGACATTACTGGTTGATGTCTACCCAGTGGATAGGGTATGGGGTGCTCTTGGGGTGGCCATCCTGCGCAAGACTTAACTCCGCTTTTGCAGTCCTGCCATCTTGCAGCCAGCCACACTGTGCCCTGGCCTGTTTGTAAATACACAGCTCTGATAGTGCAGGGGGCTTATCTTAGCCAATGGATTGTATTTCTAAAATACAAAGTGGTACTTTTTGTTACTATGTACTCTCAAGTAACAAAAAAGTCACATTTCGGGTGAGTGGGGGAGCAGGAGGGGAATGGGAGGAGGGGAGGAAGTGTAAATTTTTGAATGGAAAAATAAATAAAAAAAGTCACATTTCTTCATTCACACTGGTGTCTTGTTATTTCTTGCAGTGCATCCAAGGATGTCAGTTTTGGAGCTCTGTAGATCAGGAAAAGTGTGCTTTAAAGTGTGTAAGTGTTAACCACTGTTGTGTATTTTTGAGACTGGGCCCAAGGTATCCCAGACTGGCCTCAAACTCATACGTACCTAAGGATGACCTTAAATTTCTGATCTTCCTACGTTCCCTGGACTGCTGGGATTACAATCACACACCACCACATCAGTTTATGAGACACTGGGGGTTGATCCTGGGCTAGCAATCTATCGACTGAGCCACAGCCCGCCTCCCTAGTATCATTTTCTGTTAACGAGCTAAATTATAATGATGACACTTATTTGAGGATGTTAAAGTTGGGTTTCACAACCCGTAACTGTGACCCAATCACTCTGGAGGCAGAAGCAGGCATGATTTAGTGTTTGAACCCAGCTTGGGGTACAAGCATCATGAATCTCTATAAACAACTAATTCTTCATATGTGCACCTTCATAATTTTTCTTGCCTTGTAGACCTGTTATAAAAGTTATTTATGCCCATTCCCACTTGTGGTTGTGTGCATTATAGAATGAATTTTGCAAACAGAGTGTTTGTTGTCTGGACTGAGTTATTCTTACATACCGTTAGAAATTGCAACTTAATTATTTTAGTTATGTGTTTAATATCATTGACGCCACTATGCAAGTTCCTACAGGGCATGAAGCACTCAGCTTTTCTAGACCACGTCTCCTCCACTGACCAGGGTGGGCACAAAGCAGGTACTGATTCTTGCTGAGTGCATGAGTGGGAACACCATTTGTTGCCAGGCAACCATACAGGAAGCCACCAATGTGGGCAGAGAAAATTGCTGGCCTTTGCTGGTTAGAGTTCCAAGTGGTTTTCATTTCAATTTATCTCCTTTGAGCTGCAGTGAAATTCCCTGGCCTGGCCCAATATAGGCTTCTCCCAGTTCACTGAGATTTTCTAGTAGATAGCCTGCATTACTATTTTCCTACTAACACAAATATCATATTTTTTTTTCTCGAGACAGGGTTTCTCTGTGTAGCTTTGGAGCCTGTCCAGGAACTATTTCTGTCAACCAGGCTAGCCTGGAACTCAGAGATTCACCTGCTTTTGCCTCCTGAACGCTGGGATTAAAGGCATGCACCACTACCACCCGGCCAAATGTCATAATTTTTAAGTTATTCACACAATAGAGTTAACTTTATTATTTATTTTGAATTTGAGATCCTCCTCCATCATTTTCCAAGTGTTGGGATTACAGGCATATGCCAGTATAACTATATCAGCTGCTACTGATTCATCTATTTAATATTTTTAAAAAAGATTTACTTATTTTATGTATAAGTGTTCTATCTGCATGTATGCCTTTGTGCCAGAAGAGGGTGTCAGATCCCCCTACAGATGGTTGTGAGCTGCCATGTGGTTGCTGGGACCTGAACTGAGGACCTCTGGAAGCGCAGCCACTGCTCTTAACCGCTGAGCCGTCTCTCCAGCCCCACTTGTTTATCTTACTGCTGATTATCAGCTGTGAAGAGAAGTTCAGTTGTAGGAAATGCACAGCCGAATCACTGAAGTTATCTGCAACGTTCAGGACATTAACTTCCCTTTCCTTGTATTTTTTATGCAGAATTCTACTTACGCCACCATTTGTGAGGTGAGTTCACAATCATTTACAAAAAAGATATAATGAAACCCAAGTGTGAGTTCTTAGACGTCAAAAGGCTATTAAAGGAAGAAGAGGGCTGGGCAGTGGTGGCACATGCCTTTAATCCCAGCACTCGGGAGGCAGAGGCAGGAGGATCTCTGTGAGTTCCAGGCCAACTTGGTCTACAAGAGCTAGTTCCAGGATAGGCTCCAAAGTTCCAGAGAAGCCCTGTCTCAAAATAACAAAAAAAAAAAAAATAGAAAGATGAAAAATTTATCAGTCATTAATGAGGGTCTAATCTCATTTTGGCACAGACATTTGTCATTTGATGTATTTATGTATATGTGTTAGTCTTTAATAGTATGTACATACATACAAATTCACATGTATACATAAACCATTATTTGTCAGTGTCCAAGGGGAACAGGTTTCAGGATCTCCCCAAATTCACAAACTCTTGCGTGTTCAAATCCCTCATTGAGAATGCAGTACTATATGCACACGACCTACGTATGCCTTTACATCCTTCATCCTTGAAATCATCTATACTTCACTCTTTCCAATGTAAGTGTTGTGGAAGTAGCTCACGTCCCTTCTCTCTTTCCTTCTTTTTGATACAACATCTCATGTATGCCAGACTGAACTCGAACACTCTCTGTAGCTAAGGATAACTTTGAACTCTTTGCCTCCTGCCTCTACTGCCAAGAGCCGTTACCAGCCTGAGATACCGTGTTCAGTTTAAATAGCTTTTAAGGTAAATGTTTACACAAAACAAGTGTGTGTGCACATTCAGTTAAGATGCAATTGCAAACATTCTTGCTTCTCAGTTGTCTGAATATGAGAAATCTACAGAAATGTACAACTTGAGTCCAAGGACAGACTGTAACTTTAGTCTTGTCTGTAATTACAGAAGACTGTAATATCCTGTCCTGGACCAAGGGAAGGCCGAGTTTGACAGGGAGGAAAGAGGAGAAGAATGCATTCTGGGATATCCCTGCAGAGAGCAATTTTTTTCTTTTTTTAGGTTTACTTATTCATTTGGTGTTTGTGTTGGGTAGGTGGATGTGCCCATGCACATGTGTGGAAGTCAGAGGACGACTTGCAGGTATCAACTCTCTCCTACCAAGTGGGTTCTGGGAATGGGACTCTGCTTAGCTGCTGGGCCACAAACTCCTTAACTCACTGAGCCATCTTGATGGCCTGTGATTGCATTTTCCTTCTCCAGACACAGAGTGCTCTACCATACATATTTAGAACTCATTGCAGGAGAGCTCTTAGGCCAGCTGTGGTGCTGAACATCTGTACTCCATACATTTAGGAGGCAGAGGCAGGTGAAATCACATGTTTGAGGCCAGCCTACAGAGATCAAAAAATACAACTGGAATAGAACAAAACCAAACCCCAAAGAGAGTCCTTTTATCCCTTTTATTCACTAAAATCCTTTGCCAACACTCTGAATCACATTTGCCCCTGCTTATTTGTGAAGAAATGTTATTATCTTGCAGTTTGTAAGCCTGGTTATGGGATGGCAAGAGGGCACAGTGAGTGAAGGAGCCTGCTGCCAAACCTGATGACCCGAGTTTGATACCAGGCCACCATGTGGTAAAAGGAGAGAAATGACCGCTGAAGCTAGTCTCTGATCTTCATCCTTGGGCCATGGTGTGAGCCTCCTCCCCCAGCATATAAACAAACAAACAAACAAACAAACAAACAAACGAAATAATGAAAGCTTAGTGTTGCTCTATTTAGATGCCTTGAAAACAGATTAAAACTATGTTACATTTCCTGGGGCAGGATGTGCATGGTCATCCATGAATATAGCATAAAGATTCTTCTTTAACAGGAAGCAAAACTATGCACATAGTCCATGGCTACGTTGCATTGTAGGGAATTTTCCTTGCCAGTAGATAGAGGTGGGATTTGATTGACATGAAACAGAGTGAGAAGTTTGCCCTAAAAGTTGAGGATCTCCCCTGATGGTAGGGAAAAACTAAGCTTCTCCAGAACCCTATTATATGATTAAGGCAAAAAATTCCTGTTAAATAACAGACCTCAAGAGGACTGTGCCAGTCGGGTTAAAATGGAGAGAGTCTCGCTTGCCAGTCATTGTGCTGCCTGGCGGTCGGTGCTTATGGAATGTGGTTCTCTCCAGGAGAGTTTTAGCTCAGTTATCCATACCTTTTGGGGATCAGGCATGGATGCTTCTGCCCGTGGGTGCCATGGGAGCTGTGTACTATGTAGTCTTTGGAGGAAGAGCTTAGAAACGCTAACCTGACAAAACAGAATCTAGAAAATGATGATGCCAAGTGGGCTGCAGCATTCCTGATCATTTAAGACAGGAAGTGATCTATGGTAACATCTTAGCCTTTTGATGGAGGGTAAATGCAGACTCTTTTGTTTCTGGAAGGCCTTTTGTGGTTTCTTATTGCTATTGGAAGACAATGGCGCACTGTGTGAGCCTGACAGACTCATTTCCTCCCTGTCTGACCTGATTCCCTTTCTCCATGCTCTCTGTGCCAGACACACGGCTTCAACTTTTCTACAACCATCTAGGTGTCGAACACTCTCCCTGCTCCTTGTAAGTGCTCAAGTCTTGGTTGAGCGTCATTTCTGTACTGTTCCAGCTGACCACACTAAAGGAAGTCTCCTAATCACGGCCTAGAACTTTGATTCTCTTGCCACCACACTCATACACACACTTTTCATTATCTGAGGTGTTTGTTTTAAACTTGTCAATCCTTTATTTTACACCCCTTCTAAGACAATGTAAGTTCCACAAAGGTAGGGAACTTACCTGTCTTGTTTGCTGCCTGGAACAACACCTGGGACAGAAAAGAGATTCAGTATATATCCTTGAATGAATTAAAGCTTTTTCGGGAAAGAATGTTGCAATCCATACAGAGGCTGGAGAGAGTTTCTTCCTCGTGTTAAGAAAATGAGGAATGATGCAGGCAATCCATGAGCCAGCCTGGGAAGCCAAGAGATAATAAAGATGGTCTCAGTACTGTGGGGAAATGGCAGTGAGGATGAACTTAAAGATGGCAGACGGGGGGACTGGAGAGATGGCTCAGAAGTTAAGAGCATTGCCTGCTCTTCCAAAGGTCCTGAGTTCAATTCCCGGCAACCACATGGTGGCTCACAACCATCCGTAATGAGGTCTGGTGCCCTCTTCTGGTCTGCAGACAGACTATTGTATACATAATAAGTAAATGAATAAATAAAAAAAATAGATGGCAGATGGGTAAAGCCCCTGGGCGGAGAAGTGTTGGCAGCCAGGTATCCTGGAGTACGTAGGATACATGTTCCACCTAGAAGCTTCTGGTTCAGTTTCTGTGAACTGCTTTGATACAACCACCTCTATGCTCTCTCCAGGTCCCTTAGACTTGGGAAATGCAGGATGCTCTTATTTAAAGCCTGACGTTGCTTTGTCTTCATGAGTGGGGCAGCTTAGCTGACAGTGTTGTCTCCAGTTGAGATAATGTTTAAACTCTCAGATTGACAGAGCTTAGTCTATGTGTCCTCTGAAAGCGGAGGTGGGGGGGCAGGAAAAACAGGGCCACAATTTTCTTCCTTCATATTTTTTTTTTTCCAGATTGGCCTATATTTCCAAGTAATATATGTTTCTAAACAAAGTCTCTTTTTTCCTTGGAAGGAAAAACCTTCATTTTATGTAATGCTCTTACTGCCTCTTGGTTTGTGTCTTCTCCGCAGTGGGTGGATATGCTGAATGAGCTTTCCTCAAATTTCCAGAGAGGAGGTGACAAGTACACGGACCTTTAAGTTAAACAATCCCAGGCCCACACCATGGTATTTGAATTAATCCTTAACTAAGCAAACCTGGGCTTATCGGACTCTACTTCCTCTCCGTGCACAGCTCAAACATCTCAGAGTTAATATTTGCACGTTCCAGCTCTTCTTCCCAGGGCAGATGCATTGTGCTGCGGTGCCTAGCCTCACTGGGAAACTGACAGCAGGCTGTTCCTGGAGTCGCAATGATAAACTCAAGGACACCAGGGAAGTTGAGCACAGCCTTGCTGGAGGTTTACGATGTGTGCTTTCTCCTCCTGGTTGTCTTTTCTCTGTGGCGGAGGGCGATGCACCTGTTAAGAGCTGCAGGCCGTTTGGATTCCAGTCCTCAAATATGTACTCTGTTTTGTTTTTTTTTTCTTTAATGAGATAAGGTGTCTATGGTAGCTAGGCTGTTGAAGATCTTAAAAGTCAGTATTGGTATGAAGCTACCCACTAGAAGGCTCGGCTATTGTAGAGCTTGTAGTTAATCTTTAATTCTAAGGAAGAGTAGAGAGAGCACAAGAAATAGACAACCAAATGCACTTACGTTGGGTTGGAATTTTAGGTTTCCAGCTCACCAAAAGTTTAACCTAGTCGGTAAAAATAAAAGTGAACTATTAAGCTCGGAACTTTTTTCAAACTATAAAATGGCAGGGCCGTGGAATGAATTCAGTAAATCAAGAGTCACCGTAAACGGAATGCAATGGAAGAAGCTGAAATCTATAAGGGCGCCCTGTTGGGTTTCTTCCTGGCATGAGGAAAGCGTTCTAAAATCACATTGTGTTGATGGTGACACAATTTTGGAGGTCACTAAAGCCCACCAGAGCTACTGTGTGGCTTCAAATGTTTGTGCTCTCTCTCACTCTCAGGTTTTGGAGACAGGTTCTCTCTTATCTATCTATCTATCTATCTATCTATCTATCTATCTATCTATCTATCTATCTAT